ATGGATTCCAGCTATCTGTCAACAGCAACAACAACAAAAATGTTTAGCTTAATAAAAACTTGTTTGATGAAAATTAATCTTCAAATTATCTCACCTGGCAAGCTTTCTGAAAAGCTGAATGTGTCTGGTCAGAGGAGTAGACAACGAGCTTCTCAAGCTCCTTTTTGCCAACGCTTCTTAAAACTTTGTCACGAGCAGCGATAAGAACAACAAGAACAGCTTCACTAGCTGATCCTTGGATAACTCCACCTCCATTTCCTACAATACAACACACTTAGCGTAAGAGGATTGTTCTTGACAAGATTGGTTTAATTTTTTCTTTTATAGCTATTATTACCTTTGGACAGAAACTGCTCAGGTAGGTTGAGTAATTTGGCAAGCCAATCAAGAACAATCATCTCGAGCTCTGTGGCAGCTGGAGAAGTTATCCAACTGAAACCGACAATTCCAAGACCAGCACTCAACATCTCCCCCAAGAAACCGGCAACGCTGCTGTTTGAAGGGTAATAAGCAAAGAAACTCGGGCTTTGCCAGTGTGTTAGTCCAGGAAATATCTTTGTCTTAACATCTGCCAAAAAAAAAGATAAAAAAAAATAACTCAAATCAGATCAAGTGCTCATAGGAAAAAAAAAAGGTGTTAAAAAATTAATTCACCATCAAGAACGTGTTCCAACGTTTCAGGGTGGTCTGGTGCGGACTCAGGCAAAAGGTTATGAAGATAACCAGGCTGCATCAAACAAGTAAACTAAATAATGTGAATAAACCCTGATCCAAGTGGAACAAATTGATTTTCACAGGAAAAGAAAGAAAAAAGAGTGACCTGAACTTGGCTAAGAACAGGGAAATTTTCGATGGTTTTGTAGTAATCAGCAATGAAATCAACCATTCGATGCCCGTAATCTCTCAATTGCTCTGAATCCATGGGCTTCAACACGTTCTTGCTACCATTTTCTGTTTTTGTTAAATTCTTGCTACCATTTTCCCTGTTCCATAAGTAAGAGAAAAACGAAAATTATTCTATCGTTCTTTATCAAAAAAGAGAAAAACGAAAACTCAGACAAGATTCGTCTGAAAACATGATAAAGATATTTGAATGAAAAACTTACATTTTTGCTTAATGTCTCAAGAAGCTATCTTATGAATGGTTTGGGTTTGAGTTGGACTGTAGCGGCACCTTTTATTTATAGGACCCGGATTTTTTTTTGAATTTTAGATTTTATATTCTACTATATAATAAAATATATGTCATAATTCAAAAAAATAATAATAGTCAAATACTTTCCAGGTATTTATGTTGTCCACTCAAATCGTTATCAAGAGAGTAGTGAGAACTGTTCATGTTTTTCTCCCTTTTAATTTTTTTATCTGTTTGGGACGAAATTTTCGATTTTTGTTACACTATTTTGAGTCAGTCAAGAATGTCATCATATTCTTCAAAAAGCTTTGCATGTTAGCGAGTTATTTTCCCAAAAAAAAGAAAAAACTCGCTAATATATAGTTTAACCTTTGGAAAGCAAACATTCACATTTTCATAAATTATTAAATTTATAAAAAAAATTACATCAATTAATACTTTGGAATGTTTTCAAACGATTTTTGTGTGACATGAAATAGTTCTGGCGTCATACGCCTTTGGGGTCTAGTTCTCTCAGAGAGTGTCGAGATTTGCTGTATCACTTGGCTTGGAGTGAATAATAAACTATCTTAAAAAAAAAAATTATATAATGGGTTTAGTATGCGGTTTCAAATTGTCCAAATTTATAGTCTCAAATTGTTTAACTTTACATAAACCAACACAAAACCAGATTTTAAGTATATTTAAAATCTAGACAACTATAGGACTAATGAAAGATGGCTTGTTTTTATCAAGATAAATTTTATGAAATACACCTCTTGAGGTGCAAATTTTCAAAATTATACCTATAGCGTGGAAATTTTCAAAAATACACCTTTTCCCAATTTTAATATATATGTTTGGGTTCACTAATCCTATATTAGGGTTTAGATTTTAGGGTTTAGAGTTTAGATTTAAGGGTTCAATGTTAGATTTTAGGGTTTTGGATTTATATTTTAGAGTTTAGAGTTCTTTTACTAAATGAAAAAGTGTAATTTTGAAAATTGGCACCATAGAGGTGTATTTTTGAAAATTTGCACCTCAAGAGATGTAGTTTTGAAATTTCCCCTATTATCAATTTATTTTTGCATAAAATGTTATGGTCATGTAATCATGTTTGGTCGTACATTTTCTAGGGAAACACTGGCCAAAGATTGAATGCGAGCACATGTCATATTATTGTGAATGCGATCGAGCAGATTGAGATATTTTAGCCGGTTCCACAGGTATGGCAAAAAATTATTGCTCAACGACATCGCTAGCCCAAAACATCTAGTTGTTATTATTTTGTTAAGAATTTCATTTTCAATAAATTATATTTGTGGATAAATTTCTTAAAACGTGTTTCACAGGAAGCCGTAAAGATTTGTTGGCAAGTGTGTTTGATTATGCAAATATACATATTCGTCAATTTAAAAGAAAAGAAAAAATACTACACCTAAATTTCAAACTAAGGACAAACATTATGTAGACTTGAACTTGGGTGGTGAAGCATCATTCACACTTACAATACAAATTATTAAGCTACATGTTTTGGTCCAATAGATCTAAATTTTTAGATAGGAACTTCTATGTAAACCAACAAATAATAGTAGTATCAAATTTACCAGGTTCTTCTGTTAGATGAAATTTAAGATCTTCCTAAAAGTCTGTTTTAAGACTGATGTTATATAAGGAAATCCTCACAAACTCCAGATATATAGCACTATAGAAAAATAAGTACAATATTACAAACTTTTAAAAGCAAAACTAAAACTTAACAGACAAAGCTTTTAATTAAGTACAATATATGTGGTACATCAGCTCCTATGTTGGTTATATTGGCGAACAAAGCCATTGGTAGACCAAATTATCTCTTTTAATTTGGCCATTCCGTTTTTTTCCCCTCTAAGCTCGTACTATCTCATTTTCTTTGATAAATATGACCGAGCAAGCCTACCTAAATACTAACGAGAACCAACTTGATAGAACGATAGTTGATCTCCGGTACGAATAAAAATAAGTTAGGGTTGGCTTTCTTTTTTTTTCTTTTTTTTTTTGTTTAAATCAAATATATGTGATAGCCTAGTCCGATTAAAAGTTCCAAACTTTCCAGTCAATTCTTTCAGGGTTTTGGATAGTTCTAGATATACTCTTCTTTGTCTAAAACTTATGACTTTTTTTCAGTCGAATGAATCAATTCAAATTTGCTAAAATACTATTCTTTTATATTTCGACCTAAGAATATTCATAAATATTCCGTAACCTAAAAGTGTGGATTTCATCACCTACGGCATCCACCAACAAATTAAATTCAATCTTACAAAATTTATGTGCTTCCAATTCGGTTGAAGTTAGCTTATTATCGTCAAAATTCTCATTTTCAATAAACTTTTTGTATATAGAAGAAAAATACTCATTAGATGATTTGGGGCTTGATTGGTAGAGCATTATGTCTTTTCTCTAACAACGTCATCAGTTCAAACAGATTCAAATTTTCATGTGAATATCATTCATTAAACGTATCCTATCGAAGAAGCTTGACCTACAAGATTAGTTTGGGCCTGACAGTCATAAGAGATGGGCCTAGAGTCAGGCCCGTAGATTTCTTCTGCGTTTCAGTGCAGGTTGTAGACTTGCGTGCCGTTTAGTGACAACGCATGTATGCTGTTTGTAATGTCGTCATGAGCAAAGTGAAGCGTTTTCTATCAAAAATAAACAAATTTGTTAAAAAATATTTTCCGCTGCTGGGCTTCGAACCCGGAATATCCATTTGCAAAGAGATTTAACCAGTGTGCTACAGCGGAACTTTTGTTAATTATTACATATGCATTTATATATACACATACACTGCGTTTTTGCAAAAATAAAAAAAATGATCAATACGCTGCGTTTCCATGCAATGCAGTATGCATAAAAAATAATTTTCCGCTGCCGTGCTTCGAACCCGGAATATTCAGTTGAGAAGATTTAACCTGTGTGCTACAGCGGAACTTTTGTTAATTCTTACACATGTGTATATATATATATATATATATTACCAAAATGAAAACCAAACCGGTGTATTCCTCAAACCAAACAGATCAATACACCTAACCAAGTCGATTCCATATACATTAGTCATATATACCCTGAGCTGATTGATAATGCAGACATGTCATGTGATCCGGAGAAAACATTTGAAAAGATTTACTCATTTACAACATTTACAGTATGTACAGTATTTGGTTTTGGTCTCCGAAGTAGGAGCAAAACTCAAGTACAACATTGTCTTTATTTCTGTAAATTTATGGGTTCAACGAACAAGTACCGGCGGCCTTTAATAATTTTTGTTTTTAATGTTCTTGGTCTATATCAAGAATCAATCAGATCGGTCACAACATTTCAATGACTCAACAAAACTCTACCTATTTCTATATAAGAGTCAAATACTATCTACTTTTCTCTCTTATCTACTAATAGTACTGGTTTGCACACACACCTCACACACATGACATGACATATGAGCAAGAAACAATCCTCCTATTTATATTCCATCTTTCGTAAAGCAAAAAAATCAGATTCAAACTGTCTAAAATGGAGGATCAAAAGCAAGCCAATGAACACATTTTCCACAGCCTATATCCATCTGTTCCTATTCCTGACAAGCTTACTTTGGTATCAACTTTCCATTTATGTACATTGCATATTTTTATAACCCGGCTTGGTTTAGTTTAATTTATTTTTTGGTCCAATAGCTTATAACTTTGGTTCGGTTATTGGAATGAGTAAATTATTATCTTAATTATATAATAGTATGCTAGCTTGTTCATTTTGATTGTAGAAAAAGTTTTGGTTCGGTTCGGTTATGGATTACATATTCTTTTGGTTCAGATTCGGTTTATTATTATACATATAAACTGATTCAATGTGTACTAATTTTTGTGTTAAGCCTGAGTTTGTGCTCCAAGGAGTTGAACAATATGTAGAGAAAGTGGCATTCGTAGAAGCCGTGACGGGAAAATCGGTCACGTACGGTGATGTTGTGAGGGACTCGAAGAGGCTAGCCAAAGCGTTGGTATCACTTGGATTAAGGAAAGGTCAAGTGATGGTTGTGGTTTTGCCAAACGTGGCCGAGTATGGGATTATTGCCCTTGGCATTATGTCTGCCGGTGGAGTCTTCTCCGGCGCTAACCCGACGGCTCTTGTCTCCGAGATCAAGAAGCAAGTTGAAGCTTCCGGTGCTAGAGGGATCATCACTGATTCTACTAACTTTGAAAAGGTAACATATGTTTGTACATGAATTTGAAATGTTTTTAAAAAAATAAAAAAGTATTCAAATGAATGTTTATTTTTTTGGTGTGAAAATTTTGATAATGGTCGGTTTGGGATTGCATTTCTTTTGGTTATAACTCGGTTATTTTCGTCTGGTTTGGTTTCGGTTAATATACTTAACCGGGTATAACATGTACCGGCTTTGGCAGGTGAAGACACTAGGTGTACCGATAATAGTGTTAGGTGAAGAGAAGATCGAAGGAGCAGTAAACTGGAGAGACCTTCTAGAAGCAGGAGACAAATTAGGAGACAACAACAAAGTAGAGATTCTTCAGACAGATCTCTGTGCACTTCCTTTTTCTTCAGGCACAACAGGATTACAAAAAGGAGTGATGCTCACGCATCGCAGCCTCATAGCAAATCTCTGCTCAACTCTCTTCAGCTTCCGGTCTGAAATGATAGGTCAGGTCGTGACTCTTGGTTTGATCCCGTTCTTTCACATTTACGGCATCGTTGGCATTTGTTGTGCTACGATGAAGAACAAAGGCAAAGTTGTTGCTATGAGTCGGTTCGATCTAAGGCTTTTCTTGAATGCTTTGATCGCTCACGAGGTCTCGTTTGCGCCTATTGTCCCGCCGATTATATTGAATCTTGTCAAGAATCCGATCGTTGACGAGTTTGATCTTTCCAAGCTTAAACTCCGTTCCGTTATGACTGCTGCTGCTCCTTTAGCTCCTGAGCTTCTCACTGCCTTTGAAGCCAAGTTTCCTAACGTTCAAGTCCAAGAGGTAAAATATAGAAACATAATATGGTTAACATTCGGTTATCGACGACTAAACCGGATTACACATATTGATGTTATTAAATTATAGGCTTATGGATTAACGGAGCATAGTTGCATTACGTTAACTCATGGAGATCCTGAGAAAGGACAAGGGATTGCGAAAAGAAACTCGGTTGGTTTCATACTTCCGAATCTTGAGGTGAAGTTCATAGATCCTGACACCGGCCGGTCACTGCCGAAGAACACTTCCGGTGAGATATGTGTGAGGAGCCAATGTGTCATGCAAGGTTACTTCGAGAACAAGGAAGAGACAGAGAAGACTATCGATGAAGAAGGGTGGCTTCACACTGGTGATATAGGTTACATTGATGATGATGGAGATATCTTCATTGTTGATCGTATCAAAGAACTCATCAAATACAAAGGTTTTCAGGTAAATTTAATTTGAATCACAATTTTAGGGGTAGATTCATTTTTTTGTCCTCGAGCTCGGTTTTGTTCCGGTTTAATTCGGTTTGGAGAATGTTATACTGAAAAATAACCGAATTTTCTATATTTTCCCCTAATCAATACTGGATTAGGTCACCATTGTTTACTTACGTTCGCGTTACGTAACTTTAAACTTTAAAAATGTGTGTTTTTTTTTTTTCCCCATAATTTCATTTCCTCTTGTAAATGCATTTTGTGTATATTTTTCCGGCAGGTGGCTCCGGCGGAGCTTGAAGCTATTCTACTCACTCATCCATCCGTTGAGGACGTTGCCGTTGTGCCGTGAGTATATAAATGCATTTTATATACTTTGAAAATAAATATTCAAATTTGAAGAATGATTAATTAAAAACAAATATTTGGGAAACTAAGGTTACCGGACGAGGAAGCCGGAGAGATTCCGGCGGCATGCGTTGTGATAAACCCTAAAGCGAAAGAAAAGGAAGAAGACATCCTTAACTTTGTTGCAGCAAATGTGGCTAACTACAAGAAGATTAGAGCCGTTTATTTTGTGGAGTCAATCCCCAAATCTCTCTCTGGTAAAATCATGAGAAGGGTTCTTAGAGACAAGATCCTCAGCATCAAGAGAAAGTAGAAGAAACTATATGATGGATTCTAATCTGAGAAAGTAACAAAGAGTTTATTGATTAAACGGTTCTTATATTATTGCTTTGTGCTTAGTTTGGTCTCCTTTGCTTCAGAATGTTCCTATATCAAGTTATCAACTCTCTTTGGTTTAACTATTTCTCCCTTCAATTTACAAGTAACCATGATTTTAATATTACAAGTACGTAACATAAAGTGATTGATCAGTGGTTTATCATCCCTTTATCGCTTAATATAAACAAATTAATTATGGAAGAAAACAAATTATGATGAACGTATCAGAGATGAGCTTGACTAACCATAATGATATATCCCTTATTATTAAAGATCTTGCTCAAACCTCTTTGCTCCAAACGATCCTCAAACATATGATGAGTATCATAAGGATATATATATATATATATATAGACGTTCAGTTTCGCAATGATAATCGAACATGCATCAACTTATCCTTTTGCTTAAACTCTTGAAAACTCACCCATAAACCTAAAGCCGTCTATAATACATGACTCGATGCCGTAATACTCAAGGAACTAGGATATCAGCTCAAATCGGTAATTAAAAATAAAAATTTACTACTTCAAATAATTCTGAATTTTATAATAAGATAATTAATATATGGAAAATTTGTTAAATTAAATCAGTCTTGTGACATGTCTAAGAAATAATCTTGGCTTTTTCCTCTTTCTCTCTCTCTCTCTCTCTCTGTCCAAAACTGTTTTGATTAGAACCTAAAACTAGGGTTTGGTGCTTTTCTCTCAGTACGTGTACGTGATTAGGTGATTGTTGTTGATGTGAGGATGTCTTCCATAATTAGGGCAGAGGATGAGCAATCCTCGGAACCACCGTCTCTGATTCTATCACTTCTTGAAGACCTTATCGTCGACATCCTAGCTCGTGTACCGAGATTCGACTATCCAAAACTCTCCCTCGTTTCAAAGCACATCCGGTCACTTGTTACGTCGCCTTATTTATACGCGAGACGGTCCTCGTTGCGCTGCACCGAACACTGTATCTATGTTGTCCTCTATAACGCCGATTCCTTTAAACGTTGGTATATTCTCTCCCGGAAACCTAACGGCAACCGTCACTTGGTGCTTATCCCTTCGCTTCCGGCTATGTGCGGTGGAAGGTGTGTCGCGGTGGGCTCGAGAATATACATGTTTGGCGGAGTTAACCTTGAAAACATGCATCAGCGTGCCTTGAGCATCGACTGTAGATCTCACACGGTGCAAACCCTCCCTACAATGCCTATATCCTCGGTTATCGCAGTCGCTGGCATCATTGATGGGAAAATATATGTAATTGGAAATGTTTCTCTCTGCTCGACGAAGGTCATGGTAGTGTTCAATACAGAAACACAAACGTGGGAGCCAGAGATGATAGACATGGATCTGCTAGGTCCAATGTGGCCTGGTCGTGTGGTGGTGTTGGGTGATAAGATATACATGAGGGATTATGAGAATACTTTTGTTTACGAGCCAAAAGAAAGTAAATGGGAAACAGACGAGATGTTTAATTATGAGAAGTGGGAGAATGCGTGCGTCGTTGAGGGCGTGTGGTACTATTACGATTGGTTGGAGGAAAAGTTGAGAGCGTATGATCCAAAGAAGAGGTGTTCAGGAGTGGTGAATGGTTTGGAATTAGAGTTGTTGCTTAAGACGAAAGGTTCATGGTCGTTAGAGACAGCGAGTTACGGTGGGAAGCTGGCTATTTTTTTTACTAAAGCAGTTGACGTAAAAACAGATGAGGTTTGGTATGCGGAGATTACGATGGAAAGACGCAAAGGAGGGGAGATTTGGGGGAACGTTGAATGGTGTGGTCCGGTTACGGATCCTGGAGAAGTTTACTTAGCAGAACCTCTAGCTGTTATTGTTTGATGCTGAAACCCTAGATCTCCTTTGTATCTAATTTGCTTGTTTTTGGGTTTTTTTGTTTTTTTAATATTTTTGGTCCAGCTATACCAAATGTTAAGATGATTCTAAATTTCACAGAGTTACAAATAACCACGTGCATTGACTAATCAACGGTTTATTATCCCTTTGTACGTAGCTTAACTTAATCCATCTCCTATGGTTAAGAATGTCCTTAATTATATCAAACAGTACTCATCTGGTTTTTGTGAGTTGTGACTTCCCCTTAGTTAATGTCTTAATGATATACTTTTCAATTTGATTAAGCTAAAGACAAATCAAATTTGTTTAAGGGCGTACATAGTCCACATACAAAAAGTGTTCATAAACCCTTTTTTGGGGTTCGTGTATACAATTGTTTATTTATTTGTTAGAAGAAAAAAAAAAACATGCAAGGCCATGAAAGATTTCCGTACAAGTAGCGAGAGAGACTTATTTTAAAGACTTGAAAACATACTAATTTCACCCGGCGGCGAGACTTGACTAGGCAGAAGAGATTGACGGCGAAGATGAAGCCGGTAAATTCATGGCGACGCACAATGCTACTATTTCCTTAGTAGCAAAGAATAATAAGGATATCTCAATCTTGTAATCAACCTTCAAAAGGTAAATAAGATATAAACAAAAATATCGTTAGAGAACACAACAAAGCAGAGGTGTCAAATACGAGGATCATGAGCATGGGTGGATTTTGGTTCTTGTTTTTCAGTTTGTTGTAGATATCTCAATAGAATGTTTGATATGACTTTGATAAATTTCGACTCTCTTAGTCAAATATTAAAAAAACTTACCGGGGGTAAAAAAGGCGACGAAAGAAGAGGAATATTGAGCTCAAAGGTGCTAGAAACAAAAGGGCATCTAGTCTTAGTGCAGACTTCGTTGATGTATAAGTATTTTGTATAGAAAATGCTATCATCTTCGCCTGTTGTTCTAAAATCCACAACTACATTGTTTACTCGAAGAGAGCCACCAGCTGCAAGCACAAAATATGTTATCAACGAAACAATGGAAAGCAAAAGTTAACTGAAACATTATTACTAGATCTCTATAGTAATAATGTTTGTTGTTGTGTACTTGTAGAACCGGCTATCGAAATGGTTGTTGTGTTGTTAGGCCCAACAGAAGAGGACTTCACACCAGTGACGCTTATGGAATCGTATCCACTACCTACAATAACCATAACATAGTTAGAATCAAGTGCAAAGACGAGATGTTAACTAATATATCAAGTGAAAATGAAACAAATCTGATCATGGCCAAACTTAGTTTTGTAACATTAGGCAAAACAAAAGAAAGATCAAAAGCTACAAGATCCCATTTGGCTAGTAGAAAGGAAGCAAACCATAATCAAAGAAAGTCATCATTATTTGGATTTATCATGGAATTTTGTTTATATATGAAACAATAGGAATATATGTTCTATTGAATATATTAACATCAGACAAACACAAAACTACCCCCTAAAAAAAACATAGAGAAATCGATACAAACCGTTGCAGTATTCAAAATCCATGCCGTGCGAGGCAGGTAAGAAGAACAGTGACAAGAGAAGAAGCAGAGTTTGAGTGTGAGATATCGTCATGGATCTTTGCTCGCCGATCTTCAATAGAAGCTTTTCCGGGTTGGTTTGGCAAAAAGTCTATGTCATGGCCATGGATATATGGGATCAATATAATATCATAATATCATAGTTTAATATTTCACGTTACATGCGAGGATCTTAAATAAATGCATCAAATGTCATTCGTATTATCAATTCATTTAAGGGTAAGTGGATTCATCTTGGAGAAATATATGCGTCATCCAATGAGATTAGCATTGACTTGAAAGTCTTGGACCATTTGGCTTGGGCTTAACTTCCAAAACAAGAGTTGAATTCATCATTTGTTTTGTAAAGGAATAAAAAAAATGATCGTAGGCTTACTATTGTAATGAAGACAGTCTTAACTTTGTTGCAGCAAATGTGGCTAACTACAAGAAGACTAGAGCCATTTATTAAATGAACTAAGCAATTTGCAGTTTGCATTAACTTGGACCATGTGGTTCGAGCATCATTTCCAAACTGCAAAAAGAACTAAGCAATTTGTTTTTGTAAATAAAAAAACGATGATGTCGTGTTTTTCATTTTTTTTCGTTAGGCATTGGCCATCTTCAACTACCTAATTAACGTTTAGTGAATTTTAAAAAATTATAAGAGACAAAAATAGATTAAAATATGAAATTTGGGTGGTGCGGTAAACGTGTCTGAGATCCGATCGGAAACTTTGTTTGATTTTCCCAAGATTTGATTACAGGTTTGATTATTCAACATACATAGGAGAATCATTAGAAAATAACATGCAAGCTGAAGGATTCTCTTTCATAGTAACGAGAGAGACTTATTTAAAACACTTGAAAATATATTTTCACCCGGCGGCTAGACTTGACTCGACTAGGCAGAAGAGAATGAGGGAGAAGAATAAGCCGGAAAGTTCATGGCGATGCACATTGCTACTCTTTCCACACCATCCAACAAGGATATCTCAACCTTGTAATCAACCTTCAAAATGTAAATAAGAATAATAGTATTGTTAGAGAGCCCTACTAGTAGATAAAGGTGTCTTTGATTTCGGCTCTACGTCAAATACATATTTATTTTTCAAAGTAAATTAAAAACTTACCCTGGGTAAATCACTCGAAGGGAGAACAGGAAGATTGAGCTCAAAGGTGCTAGAATCAAAAGGGCATCTAGTCTTATTGCAGACTTTGTTGATTTTGTAATATTTTGAATAGATGATGGACTCCTCGCCTGTTGTTTTAAAATATGGGACCTTAAAATATAGACGTACATTTTCTAGATAGAGGTAACCACCACCTGTAAGCACAAGATGTTTTATCAATGAAACATTGCAAAAACAAAAATATGATATATATACTTTTTAGTATATCGCTTATGTATATAGTTTGTACTTGTAGAACCGGCTATCGAAATGGTTGTTACGTTGTTAGGCTCAACGTAAGAGATCTCCACACCAGCGACGCTTATGTAGTCGTATCCACTACCTACAACAATCACATGATATATTAAAGGCATAAGCATATAGTTAGAATCAAGTGCAAAGAATAAAATTACCACAAACAAAATCGATACTTACCGTTGCAGTATTCAAAATCGATGCCGTGCGAAGCAGGTAAGAAGAAGAGTGACACGAATATAAACAGAGCTCGAAATCGCCATGGATCTTTGCTTCTATGAAATCTGAGGTCAAATAAGTTTGTTTGCTTCTATATGAGGTCAAATAGAAGCAAATATAGTTTAGTTTGACAAAGAAGCTTGTGTAATGGCCAAAAATGGGATCAATAATATAGTACGTATCATTTTAGTTTAATATTCCACGTTACACGCGAGCATCTTTAAATATGACCTTAGCAAAAGCATCAAATGTCATCGATGTTATCAAATCTATTTTTAATGGCAAGTGGATTCATCTTGGAGAAATATAAGCTTCATCCATTGACATTTGCATTTACTTAATTTATTTCTGAAGCTGCAAATGAACAAAACTCAATTTTGTTCCTAATTAACCAACAATATTCCACAACTCCAAACTATCCAATCCAAAAGAGCACACATTTCTGATATGACAAAGTTCTATGAACATTTTTTTTTCTTTTATTACAGAACAAGAAAACGGTTTTGTGAGCATAAACACACATTCGTCTTATCTATATAACATAAGGATCTTAAACACACAAGAACAAACACTTATCTATAATATATTTAGATTTTGTCCACTTTTTTAGTCTTCATCACCGGATTAGCTTTGCCTATTGCATCTCTTCCTTCTCCTTTGAAGTCGAATTCGCATTCGTGATTCTCTGGATATCTATGGGATCTACAGAATGTGCTCCCACATTTACACTTAAACCCCATCAACCCCACTTTCTTGTTGCAGCTCAAGCACCTTGTACTCTGTTGCGGAGAAAACGCTGTCGTTTCACCTCCGTCGCTGAATCTGCTGTTCGTTGATGATGACGCAACAGCGGTTTTAGCTGAAGCGGCTTGCTCTTCGGTGATTCTGAGGTCGTGATAACATTTGGAGCAGAGGTTCATGTTAGCAGCTGTTCCGAAAAAGCCGCAGCCATTGAAGCAGAGCTTTGGCTCGGATGGAGAGAAGCTTTTGCTGTCTTCTTCGTTTTTCTCAGAGTCCATTTCTGAATTCCTAAAAAAAACAGAGAAATTGAATTGAAGAACAGATAAAAGCTTTAGACTTTGAATTAGGGTCAAGGATACTCTGTAAATGATAGATTTTTGCTTTTTTACTCGCAAATAAGGCTAATTTTCAACGAATCGAATCGAAACGTTACTGAAATTGAAAGACGAAATTGAAAGAGAAGCGAAAGGAATCAGAAGAGACCTTTTCCGATGGAGATACCAGACGCCGGCGAAATATATTCCGATGGTTCTTCTGATTCTGTCTCCGGCGAATTAAAATTTACATTTTTGGGGAAATATGAAGAAGATAAATCAAAGTTATCTATCACTGATAATCTCTGACAAGTTCTCGTTTCTCGTGATTTGATCGGCGACTGAAACCGAAACTCTTTGCTTTCGCGAGACAGAGAGAGAGAGAGAGAGAGATTGGGTTCTGAATTTATTTAAAAGTTAATTTTAGTTATCAAAACCGGAATACTGTAGCAAATTTCGGTTTGAATAAAGAACCGGATGATACTATTCGAACCGGAATACTGTGTTGAGATAAAATGACTTTGTCACTTTGTCTGTTAGATTCTTCCTTTATAGGACCTCAAACATGATCTTGAGGCATTTGTTGGAGACTGAGAGGTTATGAAGAGAATGGAATGAGCTGGTTCAAGTGATTGAATACAATGCAGTGACGACTGAGCTTAAACTAACCGAAGCGAGGGTACCTTTTAGGCAGTCCATGTTTATGAGAATGGTAACAATGCCATGAATCTTCATTTCCTCTGTTTCTTACTTTCTTCTCTGTTTTTTATCGTCTTTATTCAAGTCTATCTCGGTTAAATCCAGATGATTACAAACTAAAATTGAACGTGAGAAACTTGATTTAAAGTCTCCCAAAAATACCAGTGAAATGCGGTATGAAGAAGTAATAATGGAGAAGGTCCAGAAGGAGTGAATTCAAAATATGCAGATAAGAGAAAGAATGAAGAAGTAAATGGCTAAATGCAGAACTTTCTTTGAACTTTTCAACACTACTTAGAAAAGACATTTTGATAGAGCTACTTTTGTTTCAATTCATATTGGCTCTGATACTTCCAACAACAAACTACATTAAAATAGCAATGCCAGCGAAAAAAAAGGGATGTTACGTTGCACAACAAAGAAAACAAACTGGTTTGCGTCGAGTGTATGACTTCTGGTGGTTGGAAACAATACATACATTGTGCAAGTTTGTAATCGGTGGGTAAAGACAAGATTATATAATATTCAAACTCTCGGGTTACGATGTGCAAAACATATATGTAAACTATAGACCAACCTGTATTTCTTATTCGTAGATGGAAGTTGCAATTAATTAATGTAACTAAACCAAGTTGAACAAGCCGAGGCTCTAGCTAGTTTCAAAGTCAACACAATATGAGAGATCCTGCACAAAGATCTGGATTTCTTTTGCTGCTCCCCCAATTCTTACATCCTTCTGGGATTTCCAACTTACTCTCAGGTCTCATCTTGATTCTCTTTCTCTTTACTAAGATCCTGAGAAAATGGAGTTTTGGACTTCGGTGTTTGCGCCATCTATTGTAGCTCTTTTCGCTTTCCTTTTGCCTTGCTTATATGATAACGTGGTGGGGTGCAAGTTAGGGGAAAATATTGAGTTGTTGAATACTGCTTTGGGTGAGCTTAGAGCAAAAAGAGATGATGTGGTTTTCCAACTCGATGCTGGAAAGGTTAAAGGTGAGCAAAGGCAAGCAACAGTGGTTGAATGGCTTTCAAAAGTCAAACTCATTGAAACCGACACCAACCGGCTGCTTGGTGTTGCTGCTTCTAGTCAGGATCCTTGCGCTCTAAGAGCTGATGTCTCCTCTAATGATGCTTCCCCTGATGAACGGATGTCAACATCTGGGTGCTGGTGCACGGACAACATCTCCCCCTGCTGCCGAGTCCACAAGGTTATCAAGAAGTTGAATGAAGTTAGAGATCTTTGTTCTAGAGGAGAAAGGTTTGACGCGGTGACTGTGCAAGCTCCTCCTCCTGTGGTAATACAGAAATTTTGCGACAAAACATTTGGTCTTGATACGACGCTAGAAAAGACTTGGAAAAGTCTTATGACGGATAGAAACAGGTTGTTGGGTATCTACGGTATGGGAGGTGTAGGCAAAACTACGCTACTAGCTCTAATCAACAACAAGTTCGCGAACCCCGAGGTCAAGGGCAAGTTTGATATTGTCATTTGGGTTAAAGTGTCTAAAGTTGTGGACATCGCCAAGATTCAAGATGATATCGGGAAAAGACTAGGCATCAATGACGACACGTGGTGCTTAAACTCGGAAGAAGAGAAAGCCTTTGAGATAAGCAGGGTCCTAAGCTCTATAAAACCCCGGTTCGTGCTTTTGTTAGATAACCTATGGGATGAAGTGAGTTTGTCAGACATTGGAATCCCATTGACGGGGACAGAATTCAGAGTCGTGTTTACAACTCGTGACAGGGATGTTTGTGGAAGGATGAAGAAAACTGAAGAAATCGAAGTTAAAGTTTTGGAGGAGGCGGACGCATGGGAATTGTTCAAGCTGCAGGCTCAATGCAGCATGGTGAATAGAGAAATTTCTCAAGTCGCAAGACAGATTGCGGTTACATGTGGTGGCTTACCCCTAGCACTTGTAGTGACTGGAAAGACAATGGCATGTAAAACTACTGAAGATGAATGGGTTCGTGCACTCGAGGATTTGGAGTCTTCTCCGGGTGAGTTGAGAGGTACAGAGAGGGGCATATTTCATGTTCTCAAGTTAAGCTTTGATCATTTAGATGAGACAGCGAAAAAGTGTTTTCAGTATTGTGCTTTATTTCCCAAGGCACACAATATCAACCGTGATGAGCTGGTAGAGTATTGGATCGGTGAGAAGTTCATAACTGAAGATAGAGAAAGACAGAGAACAAAGAATCGAGGCTACAATATAATCGATGCTCTTGTTCAGGCAAGCTTGCTATTGAAGGATGGCGAGTCTGAGCAGAAACTGAGTATGCATGATATGATACGGGATATAGTATTGAGGGTTAGGTCAAAGCCTGAGGAGGGAGAAATATTTGTTGTTCAAGCAGGTGCTGAGTTAAGCGAACTGTCTCATGTCCCGGATTGGACAAGCGCTACAAAGATGTCTCTAATGAACAATACGATTAAGGACATACCAGACGATCATGAGTTTCCTGACCAAGCTCGTCTAGTGACCTTGTTCCTTCAGAATAACAAGTTAGTAGAGATCTCTGGTAAATTCTTTGTGGCCATGTCGTATCTGGTGGTTTTGGATCTATCTCGCAACCCTTATCTCACTGAGTTGCCCGAAGAAATTTCAGAGTTGGTATCCTTGCGCTATCTCAGCTTATTAGGGACTATGATAAAGGATTTTCCCGAGGGTTTTGGAAAATTGACTCGACTGATTCACTTGGATCTAGAGTCCACGTACAACCTTCAAAGTACCAGTCTCAGGATGATATCACGATTATCAAGCTTTCTTAAGAAGCGAATTGGCAGGGAAGACAGAGGGTCTATGTCTCCAAGGACTTGAAGTATCAGTAGCATCATTTGCAGCCAAGTTGGGAAGGCTACGCAATCTTAAAATGATAAACTGTGATATCATAGAGTCAGAGACGGAATGGAAAGACAAATGTACTCCATCTACATCATCCGATCAAAAAACTCCAAGCAATACGTGGTTCAAGAACCTCTCAGCTGTGGAACTACTCTCATGCCAAGATGTAAGGGATTTGACATGGCTGATATATGCTGAAAATCTCGAGTCTCTAAGCATTTCATATTCACCTAACTTGGAAGAAGTAATAAGCCAAAAGAATGTTACGATATATTGTGATATATCGTGGATATACTTGAGTTGTATCTATCTACTTAGCATATTCTGTAGATATAGATTTGTATGTATCTAAACTAGATACTCTGGTGTACTATATATTAAGGCATTTGCCTGATCAATAACACAACACACATAAACCCATATTCTCAGGTTTATGACATGGTATCAGAGCTCTAAAACACAAATCTAGACGCTCTTTATTCTGAAATTTTTCTTTTCTTCGATCTTTCTTTGACCTTTATCTTCCACTCTTCAAAATGGTTGATACTTCTACGGCTGGTAGTGTGAGCTCTGGATCTGGAACTCCTGCATCTGGAACTCCCTCCGGATTAGGACTCCTTTCCGGATCTGGAACTCCACCTCCTGTGCCGCCTGTGGCTGACGTCCCAAAGGTTGTGATTCAACGGCGAACTATCTCACCATACGATCTCACTTCTAGTGATAATCCTGGTTCGCTGATCTCTCAACCTTTGTTGCGTGGCAGCAACTATGATGAATGGGCAACCAATATTCGACTAGCTCTCTCGGCTAGAAAGAAATTTGGTTTTGTCGATGGCTCGATTCCGAAACCAACGGAAGACTCTGGTGACCTCGAAGATTGGTGGACCAATAACGCTTTGGTAGTTTCTTGGTTAAAGCTCACCATCGATCCGGTGCTACGCTCGACGATCTCTCATCATGATGTTGCTCACGATCTGTGGGAACATATCAAACAGCGGTTCTCTCTGAAAAACGGCCAGAAAATCCAGCGTTTGAAGGCGGAACTCGCTGTGTGTCGTCAACGAGGCTTGGCGCTTGAAGCCTATTATGGCAAACTAATGAAGATCTGGACCACACTGGATGATTATCGTCACACGACGAATTGTGGTTGTCCTCAGGGACATGATTTGGAGAAGGAACGTGCGGATGAGAAACTGCATCAATTTCTTCTCGGCATTGACGAATTAGTCTTTGGTGCAGCAAAATCCTCCTTGCTGTCCAGGGAGCCTCTTCCTACTCTCGAAGAGGCATACAACGTCCTTGCTCAAGATGAAGAATCGAGATCCATCGCTGCAATGTCTGACAATCGCAACGATGGTGTAAGCTTTGCTGTTCAATCAAACCCCAAGGCTTATGGAGGACAGAACGACAAGAACGCACTCTGCACGAGCTGTGGCAAAAACGGTCATCTTGCCGAAAACTGTTTCCGTTCCATTGGTTATCCACCTTGGTGGGGCGATCGTCCTCGCAACAAAGAGCCACCTCCTACTCGCGATCAGTCTCGCAACAAAGGAGTCTCTGTTGCACAAGCTAACTCGGTGATGGCTTCCTCCGGTGCACCAACTCATGTGGCAAATTCGATGGTCACACACGCTGATCGAGTTGGCTTCAGTGGTTTGAAAGAGGACGAATGGCACACTCTGATGCAGATGCTCAATGAGCGTAAGACTGAAAAGGGCACTTTGTCACTCTTAGGTATGCTCACTACTAACTCTTGGATAATTGACACTGGTGCCTCGAATCATATGACAGGCAGTGTCGATTTTTTGTTTGATGTTCGAGACATGGCTCCTATGTCTATTAAACTACCTGATGGAAGGTTTACTATCTCTAATCGGATCGGCTCAGTTAGAATGGGCTCTCGTTTAAACCTTCAGAATGTTTTCTTGGTGGCTGATCTGCATTGCCACTTGATCTCTGTTTCACAGCTAACTCGAGAGGTTTCTTGCGTGTTTCAGCTGACAGAAAAGCTATGTCTTATCCAGGACCGCATCACGAGGACCCTGATTGGTGCGGGTGAGCAAGCGTTTGGACTCTACTTCTTTCGTGGTATGGAAGCTTTGGCTGCGGTGTCACATACGGATACGTCTTCTCGTGAAGTATGGCATTGCAGGATGGGGCATCCGTCTTTAAAGGCAGTAGAGTCACTCTCGAGTTCCGGTGTTATTAGGAGTAGCTTTAAGAATTCTGGTGTTTCTACTGTTTCCGCAAATAAAACGTGTGAGGTGTGTATGCGCGCCAAACAAACACGAGATGTTTTTCCTATCAGTTCTAATAAAACAACAGCTTGTTTTGAACTTGTGCACTGCGATTTATGGGGTCCTTATAGATCTCCAGCTTTATGTGGTTCACGCTACTTCCTAACCATCGTTGATGACTTCTCTCGAGCTACTTGGATCTACCTTATTGAATCCAAACAAGAGGCACCAACTTCACTGAAAAAGTTTGTTGCTTTAGTTGAGAGGCAATTTGAAACAAAGATCAAAACAATAAGAAGCGACAATGGTTCTGAGTTCATTTGTCTAAGAGATTTCTTCTCTACTAACGGCATTATACATGAAACCTCATGTGTTGGGACTCCTCAACAAAACGGGAGAGTTGAACGCAAGCACCGTCACATCCTTAATGTGGCTTGTGCGTTGCGTTTTCAGGCTAATTTACCAATTCCGTTTTGGGGACAATGCGCCTTAGCTGCAGGCTATCTCATCAATTGGACACCTTCCTCAGTTCTTCTTGGCAAGACGCCTTTCGAAATCCTGTACAAGCGTCCTCCACCGCTTGATCATCTCCGAATTCTGGGTTGCTTATGCTTTGTTCATGACCAAAAGACAAATGGTAACAAATTCGCAAGCAGAAGCAAGAAAAGCATCTTCATCGGCTATCCTTTTGGGAGAAAAGGATGGCGTGTCTATGATTTGGAATCTGGAAAGGTGTCTGTATCTCGTGATGTTGTTTTCTGTGAGGATATTTTCCCGTTTGCTTCGACTTCGTCTGAATCCTCATCCACTGAATCGGCTCTGGCGAACGATGTTATTGATATTTTTAACATTGACGACAATCTCAGTTTTGGGTCGACAAACATTTCAACTGCTGCTGATACTGCTGGGCTTGACAACACTACTTCAGGCCCATCTCCCATCACTGAGCCCATATCTGATTCTGCAGTCGTCATTGACAATACACTAAGCTCAATACCGACTGCAATTTCGATCTCGCCGGCTCCTGCGCCTTCACCTGAGATTCCGGCTGCTTCTCCGGTACCTGAATCCCTTTCGATCTTATCCGAATCGCTTCCTGACACACCATCTCCGATGGTCTCTGCGGAGGCTTCTGAATCGATTTCTGTTACATCAGCTGCTGATATCAACGCTACAGAACCGGAACTTCTGGGTCGTGGACATAGAAAGCGCCTTCCTTCCACAAGGTTAGCTGACTTTGTCACGAATACAGTTCACAGTACTCCTTTTCCGATTGAGCATTTTGTGTCTTGCACGGGTTTCTCGGAGACGCATAAGGCTTATTTGTTCGCCATTACTTCTGCGAAAGAACCAAAGAGCTATGCTCAAGCGATTAAGGATGAGAATTGGCGCTTTGCGGTCACTGATGAGATTGATGCTTTGGATATTAATGACACCTTTACTATTGAAGAACTACCAGAAGGAAAACAGGCACTTGGTTCTATGTGGGTGTTTCGTATCAAACATCAATCGGATGGTACAGTCGAACGATACAAAGCTCGTCTTGTTGTCTTGGGAAATCATCAAGTCGAGGGTCTCGACTACAAAGAAACTTTCGCGCCTGTTGCGAAGATGACTACAGTCCGTTGTTTCCTTGAGGTTTCAGCTGCTTATGATTGGGAGGTTCACCAGATGGATGTACACAATGCTTTCCTTCACGGTGACCTTAACGAAGAAGTTTATATGCGACCTCCACCGGGTTTCCACATGCCTGTTAAGAACAAGGTCTTACGACTTCGAAAGTCCATGTATGGTCTTAAACAGGCTCCGAGATGCTGGTTTGCTAAGCTTCAGAAGTCTCTCTTAGAGTATGGTTTCAAGCAATCCCGTTCAGATTATTCTCTGTTCACACTTAATGATGGCAAACGTCGTCTGCATGTCTTGGTGTATGTTGATGATCTCATCATCTCCGGCAACACTTTGGATCATATTACTGGATTCAAGGAATACTTGAGTACATGTTTTCACATGAAGGATCTTGGAATCCTCAAGTATTTTCTCGGCATTGAGGTCTCTCGCAGCTCGAAAGGTATCTATCTGTCTCAGCGCAAATATATTCTGGATCTTGTTTCTGAGGCTGGATTGTTAGGTGCCAAACCTTGCTCATTTCCCATGGATCAAAATCATGGTCTTGCGTTGGCGGTTGGTGAGGAGATTGACGATCCAACGCGGTATCGTCGGCTTGTTGGTCGGCTGATTTATCTTCACGTGACACGACCGGAACTGGCGTACTCTGTCCACATTTTGTCCCAGTTCATGCAGTCTCCAAAACAAGCTCATTGGGATGCGGCTCTAAGAGTTGTGCGTTACTTGAAGGGATGTCCAGGTCAAGGGATTTTGCTTAAATCAGGAATGTCTCTTACGTTAACGGCTTGGTGTGACGCAGATTACTCTGGCTGTCCGATCACAAGGCGTTCTCTTACTGGCTGGTTTGTGCAGCTTGGTGATTCTCCATTGTCTTGGAAAACGATCAAGCAGGATGTTGTCTCACGATCCTCGGCTGAATCGGAATATAGGGCCATGTCGGATACGGTTCAAGAAATCATTTGGTTGAAGGCATTGCTCTTATCTTTCGGTGTTTCGCACGACCAGCCTGTGCAACTTCATTGTGACAACATGGCGGCCATACACTTAAGTGCGAATCCTGTCTTCCATGAGAGAACGAAACATGTGGAGGTGGATTGTCATTTTGTCCGTGACAAAGTTATTGATGGCACTATCGTCACCAACCATGTTTCGACTAAGCTACAGTTGGCTGATATTATGACCAAGGCATTGGGAAGAAAGGAGTTCGACAGTTTCTTAGTCAAGTTGGGCGTTATGGATCTTCACGCTCCAACGTGAGGGGGGGTGTTACGATATATTGTGATATATCGTGGATATACTTGAGTTGTATCTATCTACTTAGCATATTCTGTAGATATAGATTTGTATGTCTAAACTAGATACTCTCGTGTACTATATATTAAGGCATTTGCCTAGATCAATAACACAACACACATAAACCCATATTCTCAGGTTTATGACAAAGAAAGCTGGGAATGTCCAGGTTGAGCCTTTTCAAAAGCTACCATAAATAACTGCCCCAAGCTTCCATTGCACTCCATATGGGTAAAGAACATTGATGATCTTCTCACTAAAAGGAGTTGAATGGGAGAGTGGAGCTCCGAGCTCGAATGCGATTTCGTCATGTCAATACGCATGGTATGTATTTGATTCTGTCTCTTTATAGAATCTCTCTAGTCTTGTATACTTTTGTTCCACTCCTCACTTTGCATTCCTTTTTTTTGTTTCTCACCATTTTTTAGGTGTAGCGCCGCATAGGAGCTTGTGCGACAACTATACAATCACTCTATGGATTGATTCAAGCTCTAGTTTGTTGTTTCTTGCATAACTTTGTTCAGACTCATTTGTTTTTTCCACTTATATGCGTGTGAATGGAACTTTATCCACTTATTTCACAAAGTATTATAATTTATACAAAAATATAATACTCCTGTTGTGGTCAATATTTTTTTGTCATTGATAATTTTGTAGAATCTCAAGCATGATTCACATTACAGACGCCTTGATTTACAAATTTTTATTCATCCATATTCTAGGTTCTGAATTAATGGAGGCTTGATTGGTGTAGGCAGAGAATAAATGCTTGATGCTACAGACAAACAGAAACCTTCCTCCCACTCTTAAATTAATAATCACACACACTCACACAATCACACAAACAAACACATAAGCTTGCACGTGGTTCTTGTTCACATGATGGAAGCCACACATCACACATGTATAGTAGATTCATATAGAAAGAAAAACAAAAACTTTAACAGAAGAGAGAGTGTGAGAGTACTAAATTGCTTCACCTGCTTACTTTCCAGCCAAGGCACACGCACTCATTTTCTCTCTCCCTTTCTCAATTTGTGTTGGAGAGCTGAGCTGAAAGTTTTTCTTTTTCTTTCTTATTTAATGGGTTTGGTTCGGAAACTCATAACATTAAGATCTTATTCTATCTTTCTTGATCACGGCTTGTTCTTGATTCCGTGATTCTTGAAAATTTCACTCCTCGAGGTCTTTTCTTGACTTTGGTATTGTCGTTTTCAAAATGGCAAATGCAGCTGAAAATTTCTCAGCTTTTTAGCTCAATCCCCAAGAAAATCAAAACCCGTTTAGTTAACTGCAGCTACTTCTTCTTCTTCTTTGTCATTTTCAAGATTTGTGGAGAAATGCTACTGAATTAGCGTAGCTTCTTCGAACCGGGTTTGGTTCGGTTTAGGATCCAATAACCGACAATGCCAATCGGTTAATTTCGGTTTTTCGATTTCGAGAATGAGAAGAGTTTCTCATTTCCTGATTTGCTTAATTCTCACACTCGCTTACACTCATTTCTCCGATTCAATCACCGAACGAGAGATTCTTCTTCAATTCAAAGACGAAATCATCGAAGATCCATACAAGAGCTTAGCTTCTTGGGTCTCAACCGGTGACGACGACCTCTGTAACAGCTTCAACGGCGTATCCTGTAACAAAGAAGGATTCGTCGACAAGATCGTTCTTTGGAACACAAGTCTCGCCGGAACACTAACTCCGGCATTGTCCGGTTTAACGTCTTTAAGGGTTCTGACTCTGTTTGGCAACAGGTTTACAGGTAACTTCCCCTTGGATTACTCAAAGTTACAGACTTTATGGAAGATCAATATCAGCTCCAACGCATTGTCTGGTTTCATCCCGGAGTTTATCGGCGACTTACCCAATTTAAGGCTCTTGGATTTGTCTAAAAACGGATTCGCCGGAGAGATTCCTGATTCTCTGTTTAAGCTCTGTTTCAAGACCAAGTTCGTTTCACTCTCTCACAACAATCTCTCTGGATCAATACCGGAATCAATCTTAAACTGTAACAATCTCATTGGTTTTGATCTCTCTCACCATGGCATCTCCGGTTTACTCCCTCCGATCTGCGATATACCGGTTCTTGAGTTTGTCTCTGTGAGAAGAAACTTGTTGTCTGGTGATGTGTTTAAGGAGATCTCAAAATGTAAAGGATTGAAACATTTTGATATAGGAAGCAATTCTTTCGAACGGTTAGCGTCTTTTGATGTTATTGGATTCAAGAACTTGACGTATTTCAATGTCTCTGGAAACCGGTTTAGCGGTGAGATTGGTGAGACCGTTAGTTGCAGCGAAAGTTTGGAGTTTTTAGATGCTTCTTCGAATGAGTTAACTGGTAATGTAATCACCGGATGCAAAAGTCTTAAGCTTTTGGACTTGGAGTCGAACAGGCTCAACGGGAGTGTACCAATAGGTCTCGGGAAGATGGAGAAGCTCTCTGTGATTAGATTAGGTGATAACTTTATTGACGGGAAGATACCGAGAGAGCTCGGAGATCTCGAGTTTCTACAGGTTTTGAACTTGCGTAATCTCAATCTCACTGGTGACATTCCTGAAGATGTATCCAATTGCAGACTACTTCTTGAATTGTGAGTCTTTTCAATCTCTTTCTATTGCTTCACTCTCACGTTTCTGTTTTGTTAATCTTTGTTGTTTTGTTGCAGAGATGTTTCAGGGAATGGTTTACAAGGAGAGATACCTAAGAATCTGTTCAACTTAACAAACTTGGAGATTCTTGATCTTTCGGAGAATGTGCTTTCCGGTGCTATTCCGTCTTCACTGGGAAACTTGAACAGACTGACACATTTCAATGTTTCCTACAACAATCTCTCCGGAGTTATCCCAAAGATCCAAGCTTTTGGAGCTTCTTCGTTCTCCAACAACCCTTTCCTCTGCGGTGATCCTCTCGAAACATCGTGTACTTCTCTCAGAACCGGATCAAGATCAAGATCAAGAAAGGCCAAAGCTTTAAGCACCTCTGTAATCATTGTTATCATCGCTGCTGCTCTGATCTTGGTTGGTGTCTGTGTAGTGCTTGTTTTGAACCTTAGACGGAAGAAGCACGAAGAAGAAGAAGAAGAAGAAGTAGTCAGTTTCGGTACCAGAACAACCACCATTGCTTCAACAGAATCTGGTAATGGCGGTGGTGTGACGTTTGGGAAACTTGTTCTGTTCAGCAAGAGTTTACCTTCAAAGTATGAAGATTGGGAGGCAGGTACAAAAGCTCTGCTCGACAAGGACAATATCATCGGCGTTGGATCAGTAGGAGCGGTTTACAGAGCTTCATTCGAAGGAGGGGTTTCGATTGCAGTGAAAAAGCTCGAGACTTTAGGAAGAATCGAGAGCCAAGAAGAGTTTGAGCAAGAACTTGGAAGGCTTGGTGGTTTAAGTCACTCGAATCTTGCTTCTTATCAAGGCTACTACTTCTCCTCTACAATGCAGCTGATTCTCTCTGAGTTCGTCTCAAATGGAAGCCTTTACGATAATCTACACAGTAGCAATGGAGACAGAGAGTTGAATTGGCAGAGGAGATTCGGAATCGCGTTAGGAACCGCAAAGGCGATTTCTTTCCTTCACAATGATTGTAAACCTGCGGTTCTTCATCTCAATGTGAAGTCTACAAACATACTTCTTGATGAGAGGTGTGAGGCAAAGCTATCTGATTACGGTTTGGAGAAGTTTCTTCGGTTCGGTTTTCACAATGCGGTTGGGTACATAGCTCCGGAGCTAGCTCAGAGTTTGAGAGTGAGTGACAAGTGTGATGTTTATAGCTTCGGTGTGGTTCTTCTTGAGCTTGTTACCGGTAGAAAACCGGTTGAGTCGGCGTCGGATAAGAAGGTTTTGATCTTGAGGGATCATGTGAGGGATTTGTTGGAGAGTGGTTTGTCTTCTGATTGTTTTGATAGGAGGTTGAGAGGGTTTGAAGAGAATGAGCTGATTCAGGTGATGAAGTTAGGTTTGATTTGCACAACGGAGAATCCATTGAAGAGACCTAGCATGGCAGAGGTTGTTCAAGTTCTTGAATTGATTAGAAATGGAATGGGACCATGAGAAGAAGAGATTTATTTTAGGATTTTGCAGAGTTTTGGTACATTATTTTGTGGTTTGGGATTTTCCGGTTTAGGCTTTAACTTTTTCAGTAAAAATTTGTATTCTTTTACCGGAGGAAATAAAAAAAGATCAATTCTTTGGGCCTTTTTGTTGGTAAAATGGTAAAATTAAGTGCATATGTTTCTGAATTGAGTTCAATAGCACAAGAAACTTGGTATTTTCCGGTTTACTAAGTACCAAACCAAATCCGGGTATGACATGAAGAGTTATGTTATAGCAAAACAGCATGAACTTTTGCAGTAAAAATTTGTATTCTTTTACTGGAGGAAATAACAGGAAAGCGACTCTTTTGCCGGTTTTGGTGGTATAATTGGTAAAATTTTAGTTCACATGTTCGATAGCCACAACAAACTTGGTATTTCCCGGCTAACTCAGTATCAAACCGAATCCGAGTATGATATGAAGAGTGTCGTTAACTAGAGCAAGACAAAGAATCAAATAGCATAAAAAAAAATCAATTTTGAGATTTACAAGTTTCACAAACTTTTCTAATACGGTTCACAACTACAGGAACATCACTCTCTGACAAATTACTGAAACAGAACCGGAACCAACCCGGTTCAATGCAATGACAACAAGATCCCGGTATTACATTGATCTTGCCAATGCTCAATAGCTTGTTCCACAGCTCAACTTCACCTTTCTCGCTGTAAGACGACATCAATCCTCTCATATCCACCCAACAGAAGAATCCTCCATTGCTCCTCGTGCAATCAATCCCTAACTCTCTCAACCCCTTGACAAGTTCTTGATAAATCCTCTGCAATCTCTGCCTGCTTGTTCTCACTAATCCCTGAACAAACTTCGGATTAGAGATCGCAGATATGAGCAAATGCTGGCTTGGAGATGAGACTGGTGAGAGCGTTGTGAGCTTCCTTGCACCGGATACAACAGTCTCGTTGAACGAGTAGATCGCAGCGGTTCCAAGTCCGGGGAAAGACAAGTCCTTTGAGAGGTCGTAGATGATATGAACTCTTTCTCTGTCCATATTCTCTTCCGTGTCAACTATCTCAACCATGCTAACAAACTCTCCTCCTCCTTCTCCTTCTTCTTCACCGTGGACCGAACAAGCGAAGATTTCGTTTGAGATTACATGAATGTTCCTCTCACGTGCAAAGTCTAAGATAGCGTAGAGACTCTCTCTGCTCAAGAGACTTCCCATGGGGTTTGAAGGGTTTGAGATCACAATCCCGCGGATTCTCACACCTCGTTTCTTGGCTTGGTAGAACGCTCGATCAAGAACCAGCATCGATATCTTGAAACCGTCCGCGCTTCTGCAAGGAACGTGTATGATCTCCACTCCCGTTCTCCATTTCACATCTCTATCATATCTACACAACGACGACATGTCAAAAGATTCATTCAAAGGTCAAGCAGTAGAGAGTAAAGAGATGAAAATGTACCCTGGAGAGCATGGTGTTGGAACAAGAAAGGCGTTTCCGGCATCAGCTAAGCAGAAGGAGAGAATCTCCATGGCGGATGATGCACCGGAAGTTAACACTAACTGTGATGGATCGAAAGAAACAGAGTTTTTGGTTGCTTCTGACATGAATCCTGCCACAGCCTGTTTCATAATCCAGCAAAAACTTCTCTCAAGAACATATCCAAATCCTCAAAACAAAAGACTCACAGAAATTGCAATTCCAGAGATAACATTTTTAATGAACATTTGATAGCAAAAAAAGTTGAGAGCTTTTAAGGTTAGAGAGAACAAACCACTTTCAGTTCCATAAGTCCATGCGAAGGCTCGTAAGAAGCAATGCCACTGATATTTAATCCATCTGAGATTGTTTCTTCTGGATTCTCTAAATTCCAATCATTCAAGCTTAACTGTGGAGAAGAAAGAGAGACAGTCAAAATCGAGAAAATCAGAAACAAGTGAGAATTTTTTTTGAAGGATTTGATTTTTGACCTTGTTGTTCTGAGCTAAACCGAGTTCGATTACTCCGTCCGGGTTACTGGATTCATCATACGGATCTTCTTCGATCCGTTTTTGACCCACGTAGTAAGGAGAGTCTCCTCCTTTGGTTACAGAATTAACCCGACCCGAAACCGAAACAGCTCCGCCTGAATTTCTCGGCGAGAGGAGAATCCGAGAGAGAGACCGAGGCAAACCGGTAAGCTCCGTGAGATGTCCGGCGGATTGTGACCGGGTCGGATCTAGAGAATCCGGATTAGAATCCGAATTCGGAGACGAAGCCGCCGGGTTTTCTTCACCGGAATCGGATTCGTTTTTCCGATTTCGTTTTAGGTAGAACTGGAGGAAGTAGAAGAAAGCACAAGGAATCACGGAGCCTAGGAACAAACCGCCACGACCTTGGACCACGCCTTGTAACGGAACGATAACTCTCATCGCGGTGGTTCCTCCTCCGCCGGACTTCTCGGAATTGGAATTGGAGCTCCGGCTCCGGTTGGTTTCGTTACGGGTCATTGTAGTGAACTCATCGTGTTTGGGGGTAGTGTGGATTTAGTGTTTAAAATCAAAAATGGAGCCCTTGAAGCTTCTTTCGGGCCGGGTAAACGGATTATTGGGTCCGACGGCGAAGAGATTGAAACGAAAGAGATAAATTTCGATTTAGGTCAAACGAAATTTCTGGGATTTCTCTCGAGCGGTGTACGCTCTCGTTCGATTTGGGTCGTTGAGATTTTTTGGAGGGAGAGAGGAGCGTCTCTGAATTACTATATTACCCTCACTTTTTCTTTCTAACTGGGTCCCTAAAGTTTTGGATTCTCTGGAATTTTTCTGTCTTTTTCTATAGATTTGAAATAAACCAGATAAAGGTTAATTTATTTCATTATTGAATAGTGTAGTAACTGACTACTAAATCTGAATCTGAATCTAAGATGATTATTTTAAGCTAAAACAAGATAATTAGCTAAAATGAGAATGATAATTTGTAGCCATAAATCTTTATCACATTAATTCAGTAATATGAGGTTGGAAAATTGGAATAGATAGTTTACCCTTTACGCAAATAAAATCCAGAAAAAAAAAGATAAATTAAAATCCAGATGGCTAGTATTGTATAACAATTCTTATATGGTTGAAAATGTAGATAGTACAAACAAAATCCATATCAAAATAATGTTCTTATATTTTTTCCTCAAAATTGCATAAGCCACAAATTTCCTAGGAGCTAATGTATTACAGCTATCCTTTCATACATTTGATAGAAAAAAAAATATTATTTAGATCAACAAAAATATTAGCTATTTCATAAGGTAATGCGAGACAGAAGTTGATAAGTAGAACAAATGGATTTGGCTTCGGGTGTGTTTAAGCCTCATGTTGGATATTCCAACGGCTGTGAGATTTTGGTCGTTATATGTAACATTAATCATCATGTGGCTTGTCACTTCTGGATTTTCATTTTAAGACATTGTGTTTTCTTTTTGAAGTAATCATAGCCACATGAGATGATTAACATTGAACCCAGTCCATATATTTAAGTTTAAGTTTAGGAAAATAAAGAGTGCGAGAGATGTAATCATTTGACTTGTTAAAGAAACCTAGAGATTTTGAACAACCAAAGTTGTTTTGTTTGGTTTATAGACAAATTGCTCATTCACGATTCATTCTCTTCAGAAAAATTTTATGAAATACACCTCTTGAGGTGCAAATTTTCAAAACTACACCTATAGTGTGAAAATTTTCAAAAATACACCTTTTTCTAATTTTAATATATATGTTTGGGTTCATTAATCCTAGATTATGGTTTAGATTTTGGGTTTTAGGGTTTAGATTTAAGGGTTCAATGTTAGATTTTAGGGTTTTGGATTTATATTTTAGGGTTTAGAGTTCTTTTACTCCATGAAAAAAGTGTAGTTTTGAAAATAAACACCATAAAGGTGTATTTTTGAAAATTTGCATCTCAAGAGGTGTAGTTTTGAAATTTCCCCCTTCTCTTCATTGAATGATTTATAGTCATTATATGTGTTTTCTTTATCAGGAATTTATATTAAACACAAAAATGGATCACCTATTAGTTCGGAACTGAAAATGCAGAGAATGATTGAGTGCTACAAGCAGCGGTATTCGTTAATAATGTATTACGTAATCTAGTCAATGATCTTAAGTCATATGTGAAAATTAGGTGCAGATGTTTGATGATTACACCATAGATCATAGATAAGAAGATGTCTTAAGAAGATGATAAACTAAATACACCACATTTACACTTAAACATGAATCATCACTTCACGCAAGGTATATATGTGTTCTTAAAGTTTATCTTTTTTGTGGTGTGATGATGTTTATCAACTCATCAACATACTTTTGTCTTTGGTTGAGTCCATTGAGACGCGTGTTGAGTCCATTAAGTCAACAACCAAAATCAGAATCATGCGTTGGCTATTGGAGATCTTGTAGACGGGATAAAAAATCGAAAATGCATTAGAAATTGCAAATGATGTTGGAGATGGTGTAGATGATATTAATGGTGGAGATGATGATGATGATGAGTTCACCATCCAATATGTTTGATGATTACACCATAGATAACCAAATACACCACATTTACACTTAAACCTCGAATCATCACTTCACGCAAAGTATGTATGTGTTTTTAAAGTTTATTTTCTGTGATGTGATGATGTTTATCAACTCATTAACATACTCAACTCCAACACTAGTTACCATTCACTTTAGTTAGCAGAGTACACGAAGTGGCTTGGTTTTTGGAAAACGATGTCAAAGTAACACTTGAAGGCGAGAACATTCCAGTCGGATCATTCAATGAATATGTTGCGAGATACTTCGTAGACTCATATTGAAATCCAAGGTTACGTTTGTTGAATGCTCATCTATAACAAGACTAGAGTCAAAGACTATATACTTTTCTATCTTAATAAATATAGTATTGGTTTGCACACACACAACATGAACAAGAAATAATCCTCTTATTTATATTCCATCTTTCGTTACGCAAAAATCAGATTCAAACTGTCTAAAATGGAGGATCAAAAGCAAGACAATGAACACATTTTTCGAAGTCTGTATCCATATGTGCCCATTCCTGACAAGCTTACTCTGGTATCTACTTTCCATATATGTACATCCCATTATATTCATAATGATAAGATTGGAAACAATTTTGGTTGGTGTGGTTTCGGTTTACAAATTTTTTTGTCGTTCAGATTTGGTCTATTTTATATACAAGCCAATGTCTATCTTGTAAGATGTAAGTTAATGCACTCGATCATTGTTTTACAATCTCTTGTTTCACTTGGAAGGTTAGCTTGGAGAAATCTCTTTAACTTTTGTCTCATCAAATCATGTTCTTGAATCTTTTATTAGAGGTTAAAGATCTTTTATCACCTGGAACATAATATAATCCTCGTTTGATTAATAAAATATATTGTCGACAAAAAAAAAAAAAAAACTCCTCCGGTCAGAGAAACAGACAAAAGACAGTGACGTTGGTTTCACTTGTTTTTTTTTTGAGAAAAACGTTGGTTTCACTTGTTGTTAGTTTAGCTTGGAGAAATCTCTTCAACTTTGGTCTCATGAAATCATGTTCTTGAATCTTCATTAGTAGTTAAACATCTTAGAAAAAAAAGAATTGATTAAAAATCTTTATTCAGAAAATTTTAAATATATGTACCTCACAGAAAGTTATTGTATTTGTATTAGTTAATCAAGTAATTAAAAACACTATAAGGTATAAAATTTAAAAAATAAATCTTTAGACAATAATAAAGAAAGGTAATGAAAGAAGTCAGTCACTTTTTCCGTCAACTGTGTAAACTAATCAAATCGATCTCTCCTCTCTTTCTCTCTTCTCCGGTGAAAAACTCTACGACTTTAAAATGATGGGCGGTGGTGGCGGCGGAGGTAACGGAGGAGACGCTGAACGATGGCTAGCTACGGCGGAGAAGCTACTCTTATCCGGCGACCTAAACGGTTCAAAGACCTACGCGATCCGTGCATGCGAGGCCGATCACTCACTCGTAGACCACGCCGAGCTTATCCTCGCCGTCGCCGATACTCTAATCGCCGGTGAAACTCGAATCCGCGGAAGCACAGCCGATCTCCCCGACTGGTACGCCGTCCTCCGACTCGTTCGTCTCACTCACAACCCCGAACTCGTCGCGACTCAGTACAGTAGACTCGCCGTGTTGCTCAACCCGAGCCGGAATCGGTTCCCGTACTCCGACCAGGCTTTCCGGCTGATCTCCGACGCGTGGTATGTTCTCTCCGATTCTACTAGAAAGGCATTGTACGATAGGGAATTGCATCTGAGTCAGTTTGGGCAACTCGGTCAATTAGGGTTTCAGCTTTTCAATCAGCCGCAGTCGCAATCGCAATCACAATCACAATCGCCTCAACACCAACAGCAATCGCAATCGCCTCAACACCAACCTCAGTCTCAGCAACAAACGGTGTCGTATCAGAACCAGCAGTTACCATTTCAGCTTCATCAACAACCTCAGCAACAGCCACATTTCTCTCAGAGTCAACAAAGATCACAGTTTGATCAGCAGCTGATGCAATCACAGTCAATGCAAGAGCAACAACAAGCGTCTTGGCGTCAACAGTTTGGTCAAGAGCAGCAGCAAAGTGAGTCAATTAGGGAAGAAAGATTGATAAATTTGAACAATGCAACAGATAGGGTCCAATCTAGTCGTCGTTTCCATGAGCCTGATAGGTCATCTCATAGGAATCATTCAACTGATCTGACATGGCCGTCTAATAAGACCACCGCTGCAACGTCGGAGACTGTGTCATGGAAATCGTCTGAGCCTGCTAGGCAATATCAGTCGTCTAGGTCCACTGAAGCTGCTCAGCTCTCGCTGCTGCCTTCTGTTTCTGCACCTTTGGCTAGGCAGGTTCAGTCACATTCAGTCTCTAAACCGCAGCCTGTCTCTAAACCGGTCTCTAAGCCATTCCCAATGTCTCAGCCACCATTGAGCTCAGTGTCTCAGCCACCACCTACCTCTAAGCCCTTCCCGGTGTCTCAACCACCTCCGGCCACTAACCCATTCCCTGTGTCTCAGTCAACACAAAAGTCTAAGCCTTTCCCGGTTTCTCAACCACCTCCGGCCACTACACCATTCCCTGTTTCTCAGTCAACTCAAAAGTCTAAGCCTTTCCCGGTTTCTCAACCACCTCCGGCCACTAATCCATTCCCGGTGTCTCAGTCAACACAAAAGTCTAAGCCTTTCCCGGTTTCTCAGTCATCACAAAAGTCTCAGCCATCATCAAACTCTAAGCAGATCCCGGTGTCTCAACCACCACCAGCCACTAACCCTTTCCCTGTGTCTCAGCCACCACCGACCTCTAACCCATTCCCAATGTCTCAGTCATCACAAAAGTCTCAGCCTTTCCCTGTGTCTCAGCCACCACCGGCCACTAACCCATTCCCAATGTCTCAGCCATCGTCAAATTCGAAGCCTTTCCCGGTTTCTCAACCATCATCGACTACTAACCCATA